TAACTTAGAAAGATTGACTAGCTTTTAGTTTCAATCTTATATATACATTTAGCTAAAGCCTAAACATGATAAAACATTAGTGGAATAAGTATAGAGTATTCATGAAATCAAGTATACAAATTTCAGCAAGTACTCATTTTTAAAACCTTTGTTAAAGTGCTTAACTCATATCTTTAGGATGGTTGACCTCTATATTTTTAACCGTTGATATAAACAAGTAACATCTTCTTTTCACATAAATATCTATGAAAACTAATCTTATTTCACATCTGCATATAAGACTGGTTTTGGAACATGAGTATATAACTTCATGAAATGTGTAAATTTTAGGTTCAGAGACAAAACAAAATGAAGTTTAATAAATAATTTATCTGTAGAAAAGAGGAAAAATTATCAGACAATATTAAACATATCTGTAAGTAGCAAGTTACTGAAATATTAAAGTTTAATAAATGTAACATTTAAACCTATGAAAAAAAGTGGTAAAGACAAGTGTAATTTTGGTTTATGACAGGGATAGAGGACTTATATTATATGCTCTGCAAGGATTATAGTGTATCCTAATATACACACATACACATACTTACATATATATATATATACCCACTGTATTAAAACTTAAATAGCTTTGTTTCTATTTCTTAAAATGTACTTGAACTATGAACTAGAACTTCCAGTGATTAACAGGTGTTATCTTTTGTTTCAGTACACACAGCACAAGCATTTTAATACTAGTATAAATGTAATACGGTGAGTTATATACAAGAAAAGTGTAAAAAATATAATATTTCTATGTTATAACTGTTATAACAGTTGGAGATGCAATGCAGAACACTTGTACTAAAAGGTAAGAGTTGTGATGAAACAAGAGATTGTTATATATAGATTTATTAGCTACCTTTCGTGAGTTTCGTGTATTTTACTAAACGTCTTTACTTGGCAGTTATTTAACTTATTTTTGCATGGTATTATGTATTTAATCAAATTTTAAAATATCCATCATCTCATTTCTAAAATTGTTATGTATTTTTAACCCATTGACTGTGGCTGCTCTAAATGCATGATGAATTTTTGCAAGCCATACACTGTATATGGCACACTCGCATTTAATTGCCGGAGACAGACTTACCCTATATGGTGAATCAGCAGTCAGTGGGTTAATTTATATCACTGTAACCAAATGAGCTAAACTTGTAAAAATAATTGATTGGTGTTCATTACTTTTGTATTAGATCCTTCAGCAATTATAGCATCTGCTAGTTCATTTTATGTTGCCATTGGGTGTGCTTGTGCACTAATTTTGGTTATAACAAGTGCTGCAACTACATGTTACATAAGAGCTCGGAAGTCTTGCCAGAATGAGATAATAAAGTGAGTAATTATTCCTCATCAACTTAATATAAAAAGAATTAAATGCAAGGTTGAATTTTCAGTTGCAGAATTTCATTATATATATATATATTATATAATATTATTCAGTTATTATTAAACATATATATATATATAATATTTTCCTTAAAACATCACTGCATACAATAGATATACCAAAATGACAAATTACTTCTTGCTTATGTTGTAGATAATCACGATAGATAAATATACACACCACAAACATAGATAAGCTTATCTTAAATATCAGTGTTAATTTTTTGTTATTAGAATTTTTTTGTGCTTTCTCTTCTTTCTCTCCCACATTTCTTAGCTACAGAGGTAAATCAGAAGATCTTGCTTCACAAGGGCAGACTTTCCTACGAGTTGACACACCTAATAATGCCAGCATCACAGGGAGTAAGAACATGTCAATTAATATATCTATTTGGATATTTATAAATGATGAGCTTCTATATGATTTTACTTCTATGAAAGTTGTTTAACAACTTCATCTCTCGGCAAGTTTTTTTTCTGTGACAAGTTAGCTGTTATTAGAATTTGCCATCTGAATTATATACAGAAAATAATTATAACTCGTAGAACAGTGTACACTACATTAAATCTTATTAATTCCTTCACTACAAACATTTAAAGATTTGAATGTAGGTTATTGCTATTTGTGAAAATAAATTAGTAACTATAGTATGCTAGATGTTCTAACTGTATTATATCTTTCAATTATAATTATTCATGGTAAAACATTTCTATTTGGCTAACAGGTATTAAAGATGAGTGGTTAATAAGTGGGTCTTAGCTTTTTAGCTGTGACAGGTAAATATATATATGTATATGAAATGAAACAGAAAAACTTTATGAACTCTGTTAAGTAAGTAGTTACATGTTACAACAGGACAGTTAAAATTATTTTTCAACCGTATCAAAACTTTCATTGGTTAATTTTAAAGATATCAGCTGTATATTTAGAGACTATTGGCTAACCATGAATAAACAAATAGTGTATGCAGTATAATGCGGTTTTACACCAGCAGAATAGAATATTGAACTGCTGATCTTTTTCAATGTATGGCTACATATTTTAAATAATTTTCTAAAGTATTGTTACGTCTCCGTTCGTTAGTTGATTTTCCGTAACTTCTTTCCCAAGAAACTTTAGCGACAGAAGTCCTTTCTTAATAAAACTGGTTTATTCTTTCTGAATATAACTTTACGATACACTTGATTTCAACATTCGCGCTATAACAAACGCCATAACGAACTTCAACAATACTCTCTGACTGCAGATCAATTACTCACTACCTACACACATTCTACACTGTTCTCGTCACGTTGTGAGCGTCTTATATATATACCAGACTAACATATATCTAGTAAATGCTAGGGCATTCACGAAGGTTTGAGAGAACGAGTGGCGTGACACTAGTCACGTGACCTCGCTGACGCAACACTGCCCCCTCCTTAGTATTGTTCGGGACGAACAATAGCCACTTACAATAAACCAATAACAATTAACAATAACTTAATTAAATGTACAGAATTACAATCACAAAATTACAATTCAACAAAGTCTCTTAGTTTTATGGGACGTATCTTCTTCCGTACTGGTCTCCGTCTTGTTGGCTTCTGCTTCACGTGGGGTTCATCTGCTTCATCAGGAAATGTCCTATCATCGGTAACAGTCACATCAGTGGTTAGTAACTTCATCAAGAGCTTCACCATTTCCCTTCTCAAAACTGAGTAGTTTCTTCTTCGACAGTGGCTTCTTCAGGTGGTACGTCTTCAGCAGCGTCATTTGTTGTGTTGTCCAATTCGTCCCAACTGAAATGTCTTGGACTGTGATAACGCCAAAGCCTGTTGGCATGCACCACTTTTGGCTTACCTCGCCGACCAAATTTTATACGGAAAGTCCCGTCTGAGAGACAATCCACTATGTCATATGGGCCTTCCCATGGAGAAGACAACTTAGGAGACTTCCCTTTGGTCTTCCTGGAATTATACAACCATACCTTGTCTCCAGGTACAAAGCTGACTTCATTAGATCTCTTATCATTAGTTAACTTCATCGAATCAGCAGATGTTTTCAAGTTTGAATGCACTTGATGGTGAATATCATCCATCCTTTCCGATAACACTTTCACAAATTCTGACACATTCTCAGGCAACTCTTCATAAGGCGAGCATCCCTTATGCTTGGGTCCCCTTTTTGCACAACATGTACTGCATGTCCTGCACCATTCTTCCACATCTTGCCTCATACCTATCCAGTAAAATCTTGGTCGTAGATGACTCAATGTCTTCCTAATTCCGATATGTCCTCCTGTTAAATCATCATG